TATATAAGCTTTAATATAAACTTAAAGAAAACATAGACTAATTTCTCTTTAAACACTTTTAGTTACTATATACCTACTCTTAACTTAACTATAATATAACAGCCTTAATTAACTTACTAATAAATAAAAATATTATTAACTTAGATTAATTTATAGCATTTTTATAAGTAACTTATAAAGACTTAAATAAAAAGTTAATAGCTCTAAGTTACCTAAACACTTTATAATAAAAAAAAAAAAGCTTTACTTTACACTTTACTAAGTTCTGCTAACTTACATTTAATATAGGCCTAAATAAGATAGGTCTAATTATAGCCCTATATAACTCCCTCTTAACTAAACTGTAACGCGTTATAGTAGAAGAACCCCTCTTAAACAACTTTAACATATATGTAAACTTAATTACTACCTACAATAATAACATAAGGTTTCTCTTTATATAAGCCCTAATACACCCCTAAACTAGCGCAGTTATAAATAAAGACCTTAACATAATAAAAATTAATTTAAATTATGCTTTAGTTAGTTCTAGAAAGCATAAAAGTTATAAAAAAAAAAGTTAATACTTTAAGTGTAGTAAGCATAGTTATATTTTTTAAAACTGCTTTATTTTTTTTTTTTAAGTCTATATAAGTAGCGCTGCTAGCACTTATTAAAAATTTTTACTATTTTAATTTTATTTTTATAAGGGCTTTAACTTGTATTTAAGCTCTAATCTCTCTTACTACTCTTAACATAGCTGCAGCTATAGCAGTAGAAGCTTATAAAAAGGCTTGTCCTAGAGCTAAGTTGCCCCCTAGGACTAATTTAACACTAGATCTTTACTAACTTATAGGCTAAGTCCTCTACTAATAACTAAAAGTACTAAGTTAATATTTTTATATATTTATAATAAAAAACTATATTAGCCTTAATATAAGCTCTTATTAACTTAGAAGTAAATAGCATAGGTTACATTAATAAAAAACTAGCGCATAAACTAAATTTTTAATTAACACTACTTACCTAAATAATTTACTTAACTAGATTTAATAGAAAACAACTTAAAAAAAGTTCTATTTTTTATACTATAACTATTATAATTACCTACTAACACTATAAAGAGCAGATTAAGCTCTATGTAATAAACATAAGATGTTATAACCTAATTCTAGGACAACTATAGCTATATTAGCGTAAAGTTGCTTTTAATTACTAAAAGTAAGTTCTAAACTTTAACTCTTCTTAATGCTAAAATATATGCTTACGCTTACACCTAAACAACACCTAAATAGCACTTAATATAAAAGGTCTTTAGACTTACTTTTTAATAACTTAAAAAAAAACTACTTAAGTAAGGCTAATAAGCTAAGCCTTTTACTAAGATAAGCTATATAAAATAATTTAACAACTACTTAAACTTAAAAAAAAAAAAGCTTTTAAAGAACCTTTACTTACTTAATTTAGACATAAACTAGAACTTAAACAGTAGATAGACATCTGCTACATAAGACCTGCTCTATTTATAACCCTAGCTTAATAACTAGATTATAAAATCTACATAGTTATAATTTCTAATATAGACTAAGGTTTAGCTTCTTAAAAACATACTAACTTAAAAATAATAGTCTCTTAAGACTACTATAACTTATTATATGTTTTTTTCTAAAATAAGTTTAATAAGCTTTTAATATAACATCTATATTACTACTAAATAACTTTTAAGCCTAGTAAATAACCTAGTTATAAGCTACTATATAAGATGTTACTAAACAAATTAAAAGTGCTTTAAAAATACTTTAATAAGAACCTAAAAAAAAAGTTTATTTAAGCTAGCTTCTTACTAGTAGTGTTACTTATACTATTTATAAAGAAACCTAGAGGTAGGCTTTAATTCTATGTTAACTACTAAAAACTAAACACTGTTACTATTAAAAACTAATACTTAATTTCTTTCTTATAAAAAACTCTAAGTTAACTAAGTAAAGTAAAGTATTTTATAAAGTTAGATATTATTACTACCTTTAATAAGCTAAGAATAGTAAAAGGTAATAAGTAGCTAACAGCATTTTAGACCTAATATAAACTATTTAAGTACCTAGTAATGCCCTTTAGCTTAGCTAACACGCCTAGTACTTTTTAACATTTTATAAACAACTTACTCTAACCCTACCTAGACATGTTCTGTACTGCGTATATTAATAATATTTTAATCTATAGTAATAGCCTTTTAGAGCATAAACAGCATGTACGCCTAGTGCTAAAAGCTATAGAAGAAGTAGGTCTGTAACTTAACATAGACAAATGCAAGTTCTACTAATTAAAGGTTACATATTTAAGATATATAATCTTTATAAATAGTATTTAAATAAACTCTATTAAGGTTTAGACTATGCTAGATTAGCAATACTTAAAAAACATAAAAGATGTTTAAGCTTTTATAGAATTTACTAACTTTTACTAATAATTTATTAATAACTTTTTATAGCTAGTAAGCCCTATAATTATACTTACTAAGAAAAAGGTTTAATTTAACTTTAACTTAAATTACTAATAGTCCTTTAACTAGCTAAAGAAAGCTTTTACTAAAGCTTTAATACTCTACTATTTTAACTTTAAACTACTAATACTTATAAAAGCTAATGCCTTAAACTACATAGTAGTAGAAGTTTTTTTCTAGACTAAGCTAGATAAGACTATTAGGCCTATTACATACTTCTTAAAAAGAATAAGTCTTGTAGAAAGTAATTATAAAATCTATAATAAAAAATTACTTGCTATAGTACACTATTTTAAATAATAGCAACCTAAACTAGAAAGTGCAGCGCATCTAATATAGGTCCTATCTAACTATAAGAACTTGTAGTACTTTGCAACTATAAAATAACTTAGCTACTAATAAGCCTATTAGTTTAAATACCTATCTTATTTTAATTTTAAGATTACTTATTATCTTAGTTAAAATAAAGGGAAACTAAATGCCTTTATAAAGTAATCCTAAAATGTCTCTACTTAAGAAGAAGTATAAAAGGCTTAATACTAAACTTTACTTTAATTTAAGCTATTTTTAGACCTTAACTTAAATAAAATAAATTAAATAATTAATTAAATTATTACTAATAAGTATTTAAATAATAAATTTATTTAAGAAACTTTAGACTTACTCTAAAATAGCGCTAGTTAGTTAAAGAAGGTAACACTAGCTAACTATAAAAACTAAAATAGTAAGCTATATTACTATAACTAACTTATAATCTCTAATTCTAATAAACTAAAAATTAAACTACTTTAAATTATATATAACTTGCCTATTAGAGAACACCTAGGCAGAGGAAAGACTCTTAACCTACTACAGAGAGAGTACTACTAGCCCTGCATGTTCTATACTGTACGCTAATACATATTATGTTACTATACTTGCTATAAAGTAAAGGCTTCTTAAAAAAGGTATAATAGCCTACTTAAACTGCTCTTAATCTCTAAATAAGCTTAAAAAGATATATTAATTAATTTTATTATAAACTTACTTTTATTTAAAAAGTATATAAATATTATAGTAGTTGTTAATTACTTAACTAAGTATTAACACTTAATACTATGTTCTTTTATAACTGCCTCTAATATAGCCTAGTTATTTTACTAATACATATAAGTTTACTATAGCCTGCTTAACATAATTATATTAGATAAAGGTACACAGTTTATCTTAGCTTTTTAAGACAAACTCTATAAATAGCTCTAAATTATCCTCTATTTATCTACAGCTTTTTACCTAAAGACTAATAGCTAGACTAAGAACATAAACACTATAATAAAATAAGTTTTATAAGCATATATAAACTACTAGTAAAATAACTAGGTAAAATAGTTAGCTATAGTATAGTTTAAAGCTAATAACATAACATCTAAATTAACATAAGTATCCTTGTTTTTAGCAAACTATAGATACTACCCTTAAATAAAATTTAAACTACTTATAAATACCCCCTAACTAACTTATTAATTTATATAAGTAATAAATGTAAATAAACTTATTAATAAAATTTAAAATATATTTAAATATATTTATAAAAAGCTTATATAAGCTTAAGCTTTTTAATAAAAGTACATAAACTAATTCTAAACTTCTGCCCCTGTGTATGCAGCTAGTAAGAAGGTTTAGCTAGACACTAAAAATATCTAAATAAACTAATAATTAAAGAAACTTAATTAAAAGAACTTTAGCCTCTTTATAGTAGCCTATATAGTCTTATTATATACTTACTAATTAATCTTACCTAACAGCATAAAGATACACCCTGTGTTCTATGTATTATTGCTGCGCTAAGTAGCCTCTAAATCTAACTATTTACCTAGACAGCTAAACTTACTACTTAAACCTATTATTATAAATAATAAACTAGAATATGTTATAAAAGATGTTAAATAAATCTAGTTTAATAAGAAGAAATATATCTATAAATACTTTATAAAATAAACTAGATATAACAAACTGTTATAAGAACCTATAGAAGCCTTATAAGAGAACTCTATAGTAACCTAATTTTACACTTAATACTTATTTAAACTAAACCTATACTCTAATAAAAATAACTTAATGCTAGAACTACTAATGTAAAAGATTTTCTTCCTAATAAAGAGGGGGGTACTGTTATAGTATCCTCCCTAGATCCTAGACATAACTATATTAGACGTGTACTAGAGTATTATTAGTGCATGTCTAACATAAACACAACATAACATAGACATAAACTTAAGAATAAACTACCTTAACACTAACTAAACTTAGAATAGGCTTAATTTATACCTAAAGTGCTTAGACTTTTAAGCTAAGTATTTAATTACTAATTTCTTTCTAAACCTTCCTGTTCCTTACACAACGTCTTATACCTACTATGATACCTCACGTAGTAATTAAACTAGACCTCTGTGAAGCTCTATAACCTTACTCGTGCACAATCGTGACACCTACTATCCTATCTTTACAATTCCTAGGTTATTAAGTCTCCACGTACTCCCATATGCCTCTAAGTGGATTTGTGAAGCTATGTGAGGCACTAGAGGCATGAGGAACTGCATTGAATGTATTGCTAGAGGAGTCCTTTGTAGGAGTCTACATATATGCGAAATAAGTAGGTGAGTCTTGGCAACAGACCATGCTGAGATGCATACGACTATGATAACAACGCATCCGTCCATAGTGACAACGCATCCGATCATGGTGACGTCGCACCCGACTATCGTGTGACTACTGCAAACAGGATTCCTACCGCATTCGGATCCATTGCCTTCCCTGCGCCGTTACAGTCACCCTCTTTCACCTCGTCACCACTTTTCTCAGCTGTAGTACCACGTGACCGCGTCACAAAGTAAGTAACGTAACATACAGCTACTAGCTAAGAGGAAAATCCTTATACATATAGCTTAAGTATGTACTTAATAATTACCTACTTTTTATTATTATCTAGCCTTTATAAGTTAGCTATAGAATTAGCTTATAAAGATTATCTAGTATGTTAGTTATTTATTATTTTTTAAAAGACTTTATACATAGCTGCAGCATGTTTAAAAGCCTAATGTGTAAGCTATATCTAACATTCTTTTAGCATGTCTAAGTAGTGTTGTTAGAAATTTATTAGTGTAAAAAAAGCAGTTTAGTAGGATCTTAGTAAAGGTAAGCAACTTAGGTGTGTGAGCAACTCGCCCGTGGTATACGTTATATTAAATAATGCCACAAGGCAGAACTAAGAGGAATTTAGATATTGAGCAAGACTTAGGTGTATCTTGTGATAGAACCTATAACTACTGCTAGCTTAGAAACTACAGAATATCTATTCTTGTTGAGGTCCAACGGCTAATAGAAGAGTTTTTACTTCTTGAACCAGGTCTTCTCTAGAGACAAGTTGGCCTCGATCCTTCTGAACCGTTTCCTGGTCACTGGCTCGCATAACCTTTAACCTAACTTGACCGGCTGCTAATTCGTCCTGGCCAAGTATGACAGTAAGGGGTACGCATTCGGAATCATTGAACTGCTGCATCAGCTTGGGCTTCACCTTGGCGGCAAACTCGGACCGGATTCCGGCGTCCCAGAGTTGGCGTGCCACCGCCATACGCTCGAGAAGAAGCCCATCGTAGTCCTTGCCGCCAGCTGCCACAATGTATACATCGGCCTCGTGGGTTAGCTCAGAAGAACTCTTATTCTGTCGTGCGTCCAAAAGAGTAAAGATACGATCAACTCCAAAGGATATGCCGACACATGGGATGGGATGCTTGCTGTACATACCCACTAGACCGTCGTAGCGCCCGCCCGCGGCAATACTGCCAACCTGACTGGGCTGATTTTTGCCCGTAAGGATAACCTCGTATATCGGGCCGGAGTAATAATCCAGGCCTCGAGCAAGCGAAAGGTCAAATGAAATCTTGTCGGCGACACCCATAACCTCTAAGTACGTGACCAAAAGATCCATATCATCTAGCCCTGCTTTCACATTTTTGTTCCCGCAAAGTTCTGAATCCGACTTGAGAATCTGGATCATTTCGCGTATGCCGCCGCTGCGCCTCACATATTCGCCAATTCGGTCCGCGACTTCGTCCGAAAGACCTTTCTCCTCAACCATTTCCTTCTTGACGTCGGCCCATATCGCCTTGTCAAGTTTGTCCACTGCAGAGCTGACAAGGCGTATCTTTTCCTCGGGAACGCCGGCAACCGCAAAAAGGCCGTCTAGGATCTGCCTGTGGTTTAATTTTATCGCGATGTCTAGTTGGAGGGCATCGAAGACCTCAACAATGACGCGCAGGATCTCAGCATCGGGGATCATCGGGTCGTAATCGCCAGCAATGTCGAAGTCGCACTGATAGAACTCTCGAAATCTACCCCGGGATATCGCAGGCTGATCTCGCCGGTAGACCTTAGCGATCTGGTAGCGTTTGATCCGTTTAACATTTCTGTGCATAGCCAGCCACCTAGCAAAAGGAACGGTTAGATCGTATCGTAAGGAGCAGAGCTCGCCACCCTGGTCCTCCAGGTTGTATATAAGACGCGAATCTTCGCCATATTTTCCTGTGAGAACGTCTCTGAGTTCAAAGACGGGCGTATCCAAAGGAATGCCGCCGTGGCACCTGAAAACACCGCTGATCGTCTGGCTGTCGATGATTTAGCGGGGGAGCTAATGACACGGATCCACAGCACGTACAAGATATGTTCACGCAGGAGCGCATCTCGGCCAACCCAATCGCGAGTACCTTTGGGCGTCTTAAGGGGAACGCCTGGACGAGATGGCGGAGGGTTATTAGTTGTCATATTGCTGTTCAGAGGCAGGGCGGGGAGAAGGATGGTTGTAGAGAGTGTAACAAGACAAGGTTGTGAAGGGACAGAGATCCAAAGGGAGAGGGTGAGTGCAATTGGAATGAGCCCCTACTTGACTCATCGCAAGACTTTTTGGGGGGCCAATGGCTTCGGGCTCTCTATTTGCTGGATTCTTGGCAATGCCAAGTAACCACTTTTCCCTCTCAAATTTTATAGAGATTCAGGTAACTGCGCATATCGCCTTATACACTCTACCTAATGGGAGAAGGGGGTTGCATAGTAAGTGAGGCTTTTTAATAGGCTCTATTAGCCTCATCTTACTAATTTTTAGAGTAGTTACTGCTACTAAATTTAATCAGCCGACGCACGGTCTCGCCTAACGCACGCACACACCAGATTTTGCTAATTTTTGACATTATTGCAACTCCACTAATATAGACTGTATTAAGAACGCGCTAGCATATTTAAAATTGCTAAAACTAAAAGAATTAATTAATATTACTATAATAGCTAAAAAGTATAGTGTTAAAAGGACTAGGCTATTAAAGCATTAGTAAGGCGTTTAGAGCTCTTATGTAGAGCAGTATAAAAACTAACAACTACTTAATAAGCAATAAAAAAAAGAGCTTATAAAGTATATTAAGCAGCTTTATAAGCATAGCCTACTACTTATAAGGTAATAGCTATGTAATTTTACTTTAGAACTTTGTAGTAGAGAAGTAGAAAAAGTTTAGCCTAATTACTTTCTTTAATAGCATTAAATCTTCTTAGTTACTTACTAGACCTTTAGCCTAAATTAAGATAAAAAGTAAGCTAATTTAGCCTTTAAATATAAGCTCTATTTTAAGCTACTACAGTAGAAGATTTAGGAGTATAAGATAGAGCTACAGCATATGTATAATATAAATAAGAAAGGCTTTTTTATTAGTGTACTATTAAAAACAAAGCAGATCTTCTTTAGGTAGAGATATAAAAAAGGTGGCCTTAAGTAAGCTATATAAGACAGTAATTATAAGTAGATAACTTATATAGCTTGTATTTACGCTAATAGCTTTACGCTCTCTCTAGGCCTTATCTACTAAGCTAGCACTAGTAACATCTAAGATAGCTAGTTATAAGATTTTAACTTAGTAGTATATAAGTGCTTTTTTACCTTATCTTTTAGTAGCTAGATAAATAATAATTTAGGCTTACACTAGCTTAAACAGCTGTTTAATAAACAGATAAAAAAAGCTTATTAGGTGTACAGGCTATTAATTCTAGATAGCTATAGATTTTACATTTTTATAAAGTTTATTAACTACTGCAACTAAAACAGAATTTTACTAGCTATCTATCTACTTTATTTAACCTATACACTACAGCTTCTTAACATTAGCCTGTTTAAGCTACTAGTAATAGCTTATTTAAATAAACTAGCTAGTTTTATATATAAATTAATAAAGTTTATAGCTATTATAAAGTTGTTACAATCCTTGCTCTAGGGGAGCACTCAAGTCTGATGATATTCCTAGGGGGGAAGTAGGACGAGTGGTAGGGGCCAACCGGTAGGGTGTACAGTCCTACGTACAGGCTATTGAGCTAATGGAGGGAGGTAGGGAGACCGGATCGTGGTTTGCCCTTAATGCGGCAGTAGGGAGGCCGGGTCAAACGGTCCTATAGGACAGGGTTGGAGGTATATATAGTGCAAGATATATAAATAGTATTACAGCTCCTTAGAAAGCTAAATGCTACTTAGTCTATGTAATAAATAAACTAAATGTTAAACACACCTTCTAAAGGTTGTTTAATGTGGAAACTATATACATGTGCCAGGGCGCTAAGGGGAGCTGGTTGGAGTCCATGGGAGCCCGCCAAGGAGAGCTCCCATGAGCTCCCCTGGGCTCCCATCGGTACGCGGCCCGCCTCCTCATTGGACGACGCATTCCTCCATGACTGCGGGCAGGTGCGCTGCCCCCGCGTCCTCCGATTGGTCTGTAAGCGAGCCCTGTCCCAATCCAGCTAGATTGTGGAGCACTGCTGGTGGAGTTACGCCGGTCCAACCATAGACTGTAACAAAAGTAAGACTTCTTTTACCTATTTAATAAAGCCTAGTAGACTTTATTTACTAAGAAGAATATACTCTCTAGCTTTAAAGCCTATAGCCTAGCGCTATTTAACTCTAAGAAAGTTCTTACTTAATTTAGTACTACTAGTACTAGTAGACCTTCTTCTAGTAAGAGCTCTTAGTTAGCTCTTACTGCTTAAGATTAGAGACACATAGACAAGCTTTTATATAAGGTAGTTAGTAATATCTACAACTAACAGGCTAGCAGCTTAGTAATACTATACACAGTTTCTTAGTATAGGTTATAACTCTCTAAATAGAGAATTAAGGCCTTATAAAAGCTCTAGTTAATAAAAAGAAAAAGTAAAAGTGTAGTAAACTTTTTCTACTTATAGCTCTTAAGCAGTACTATAGTAGGGCTGTATTTTATAGTCCTAAAAAGGTTTAACAAGCATGTAATTAATAAGCTAAGAAAGAAGCTACTATAAAGCTTTTATGTTAATAAAAAGATAAAAAAACTAAGTGTAAAAAGGCTAAAAAGTGTAAAAAAGCTTATATAGCTAAGAAAAGAAAGCATATAAAAGCAGCTACTAAGGACGCTTAACTATAAAAGGCTAAAAAAAAAAAGCTTTAGAAAAAAAAAAAGCAACTAGCTAAAAAAGCTAACTGCTAACTCTAAAGTAACATTAAAACTTCTAGAAAAGCTAGAAAGACTACACAGCCTATAGCTAGTAGGCTAGAGTAAGTAGTTAAGAATTAATTAATTGTTAAAGTAGTAGAGCTGCTATGCAAGCAAAATTGCAGAGGCAGAGCTATTAAGCTTCCTGCACGCTTCTGTGACTAGCTAGTAGCCTTAAATTAATTGCTGTAATTAGCTTCCTAATCTACTAAAAAACTAGGCCTATATTCCATTTATATATTGCCCTAGAGCTTTAAGTCGCGGTGCCGTTGTACGGCAAATTCCGTGCGTCAGGCGAGACCGTGCGTCGGCTGATTAAATTTAGTAATTGTACCCTAAATTGCTTATCCCTATTGTCAACGCAAACAGATGGCTGGGAATGCTCCTGCTACTTGCTAATTAACTTGTAACAAATAAGGGAGTAACAATTATAGTATTGCTGCCTTTAATAAGCGCACTGCAAGTACTCCAGCACCAGCTCCACGCGGTAGGAGTGCTGCGCGCGATGGAAGAGCTGGTAGAGTTGCTTAAGGTAGCGTACACGCTGTTTTAACTATGGCTCCTCCTAAAGCATCTACACCACTTCATCTCGTCCTAGTACATCCAACCATGCGCGACAAGCTCACCAAATAGAGCCTCCCAGTCTGCTAGGGTGAGCCTAGGAGGACGCCCTAATTAACGCGTTCTTAGGTGCGTAATAGTACTATATTTCATAAGACATTCATAGGTGTTGTATACAGTAGAGCAGCTTGCGCGCGAACAGATAATAACCTCTAGGATAGAGGCGCTAAGCACAAGAAGATAATACACAATAGAACAACTATAAGCAGTCTTCTAGCTGCGTTTTAAGTAGGAGGAGGCTAGTAGTAAGGCCTCTAGATTAAGAATGCGCGCTTCTATAAAACACATCGCTTAGAGGGCCTGCAAGAGGACTGCAGCTAGATCTATGATCTATTACTCTATTAAATTTGTAAGTTAGGCTCTATCTATACATACAAAAAGCTTCACTTACAATAAAACGCGTTGTGGTTGATTATATAGGGCGGTGTGCGCAGTTACCTGGATCTCTATGAGATTTGTGAGGGAAAAGTGGTTACTTGGCATTGCCAAGAATCCAGCAAATTTCGCACACGACAAGTGTTCTACCAGTCACCCAGCCACACCATTCACCCAGCCACACCATTCACCCAGCCACGCCGGCTATCCGACCACGAAACCCCCAAAATTTACAAAAGTTGAACCTTGATATCTTAACAACAGCTTCATAATAAATTCTAAAGTCGTAGTAGGGTTAGTCCCCTGTGCGTAATTTAAACCTCTTATTTGATTTTAAAAGTAATCCATCAAGTAGTTCTAGAGATATAAGAATTGTGTTTAAATTCAGGAGACTACAAACTTAATATCGTAATAACGGCTGGACGTAATATTCTAGAAACTTTGTGTGAGTCTTAGAATATGGCCACCTAAGAATTGTAGAGAAACCGTAGCTAGGACATTAGGGTGCAACTTTCCTGATCTTTGGTGGTTTTTGGGTTGGCTGGATGACTGGTGTTGGCGGATGACTGGCGGAACATGTTCAGGGCTCAAATTAAAGTTTCACGACAAGCCAGCCAAGCCCTTTCAGCCCTACCGACTCACAAACTGAGACAAACCTCGGTAAGACTTTCGTAACACTTGATCTCCCGTCTCTTCAACCCACGGTGCGACTCACCTCAACTTAGAAACACCGGCTCTCTCAATGCCATATTCCACGCGTTCCACTCGCTTAATACCCAAAACACCCCTCCACCGCACCCAATGGCACCGAATACAAACAACGAGACCCCTCCGCCACTTCTCCTCTACCTCCACCTCCCCCTCCGCCTCTGAACCTGCCTCTAAACCAGAACCCCCACGCTGGTTCACTGCCCTCCGCAGCACACTTCTATCCCGCAACTTCCCACCCCTAATTGACGACCTCTCTCCCCTCCAAAGCCAAAAGCTCGAGGCAGCGCTGACCTCATTTCTCCCCCCCGGCTGGGCAAAATCCCCCTTCGAAACTGGGAATTATTCCCACATACTTCCCCCAGGCTACCACCTCATCTACTTCAATCCTGCACTTCCGGCTGACGAACTCTTGCCTGATGGCACAGATCCGTTGCAGAGTCCGGGAGAGCCGTTTGTGCGGCGGATGTGGGCTGGTGGCGCTGTCAGGTGGGATGAGCACGGGTGTTGGGATCCCGAGGTGGGGTTGGTTGTGGGAATGAGAGGGGGGTTGTTTGTTTGTGCGGAGAGGATTAAGGAGGCAGTGGTGAGGGGGGAGGGGGATTTGGCGAAAATCTATGTTACAGTGGAGAGGAGGGTTGGGAGGGTAGTGGAGGGGGACATGGCGGCTGCCTCAGCCTGCGCGAAAATGGTGGAAGAGGGCAGGAAGGGCGAGGAGTGGGGTGGTGCAGTGCTGGTGGAGGAGCGGAACCTGGTATTTATGAAAGATAGATCAAGGGAGGAGTTAAGGCGGATTCGGGATGGACCTGTTGTGCCGCCTAAGTATCTCCCTTGTACGCGCCGAGCCTCTTTCTATGCTACACCTAATCCCCGTATTTAGAACGCTTGGGATATGATATGGTTTCGTTACTAACATGCCCCACCTAGCACTAACTAATCCCTCATTCTCTCATGCCCTAACGCCCACGCCCTCTCTCCTCTTCCGCTACTCCGCCCTCACCTTCAACGCCCACGCTATCCACCTCGACCCCGAATACTGCCGCAACATAGAAGGCCACCGCAATTTACTCGTCCATGGTCCTCTGTCCTTAACATTAATGCTTTCGTTTATATCATATCATTTGAAGCAGAAAGCAGGGGCCCAGATTGTTAAGTCGATTGAATACAAGAATCTGGCGCCGTTGTATTGTGGTGAGCAGTTGAGGGTTTGTGGAAAGGAGAAAGAAGGGGCGGAGCATGGAAAAGGGGGGGAGTGTGTGTATGATGTCTGGATCGAAGGTCCGACAGGTGGTACGGCTGTTAAGGGTACGGTGAAGACGGCTTCGATCTCGGAATACACATCTTCCCACCCTCTGTGTCAAAATGAGAGGAGATCGGGGTTAAAAGGTAGTAATGCACGAATCTCCTCCTCGGCATCACCTGCCAGTCTAAATGGATCCAGAAAGAGCGACAAGGTCGGCAGCTTAGTCTCGTCTGCCGAGTCCAATCTGGCCGTCCCGTCCCTTCCCGAAACAGAATCAAGAGTAGATGCAGCGCCCTACCCCCTCCCCCGCCTCCGCCGTCGTTCCTACACCCACGCTCAAAGCAAGCCGCTCACCACCACCTTCTCCCCACAAACCAAGGTCCTCGCCCGCCAACTCCTTGCGCGCAGTAACCCTCACACTCACCACATCCGTAATGCCTTTGTCGACAAAATAGTACGGAAATACCTCACTAGCCGGCACCACCACCCCCCTTTACGTCCCTCAAATCTAGATGCACAGCAGTCTAGATTCCAGGCTCGAGGCGCAAAGAAAATCGAAGTCCTGGTGCCGAGGCGGCACGTTCTTAGCGATAGGTGGAAGAAGAAGGGGAGGGTTTGGAGGAGGATGCCACGGGTTGGGGAGGTGGGGGTGGAGGCAGGGGGAAGGAGGTTTTATTAAGGTGCGGAGGGGTTGGCGTTAGTGTAGATTATTGTAGACCATGTTACAGTAGAGCATAGCAGGGCATAAGGGCTAAGTGCTATGTAGGATAGCATATATATATATATGTACAAATAAGATGTAGGTCTTTCCATTTCAATACGATGAGGTATTGTAATGACGATTGTAATGGCAATGCCGATTTTAAGTGGTTCTAATCCTCCATCATCCAGTTCGCTGGCTGGATAGCGAAAAGTCCGGAAATATTTCTACTACAGTTAAACGTAGTTGCGGAAGACTGGTTTTACGAGTATCTTGCCAGTTGCAGGCTTTCCGTCTATCTCAGACATGCATCGATTTCGTACTAATTTACTAGAGTAACTCTATGCCTGCCGACTTTTGACTCCTTTCTTGGAGGTTTTCTATAGCCGCTTTTGTAGACACTTGCACCTAAAGTACTAAGTCTAACTTCTGCAATCACGTCAGCTTTTCTTGCCTAGTTCTCACACTGCCCCATGCTGTCTTGGTTTATGCTTCCTCGATTCTAAAATTCACAACAACTAAACGAGCATAGAACTGGACCCACATCCATCTTGTTGATACATAATCAACGTTAAGAAGCAGCGCCTTAGGTAGTTCGGACTAGGCAACTTAGTCCTTTGCCTATATGAGTATTGTAGGCGGTTGGGTATAGTTCCTTTTGGTCATTTGCACTTTAAAACTATGTAGTTACCGTGCACAGGGTATTAATTTTGCCTTATTCTCTACGATAGTTATTTTATATCTCGAATGCCGAATTTTGTTTTGTGGACAACTAGAACAGGTCCTCAAACATCATCGCAAACAGTGGGGCTACAAGAACCCTAGCTGTCATTCTGCTGTCAGTTGTGGCTGAGCCGTGCTACAGGCCCTTGCGATCTTCAATGTTTCTTATTCTATCGCGCCACTTCTATGCGCCAGGAGCCACTCGTCTACGTTACGTATATTTAAGTACTGTGGATAGAACTGCCTGGATGTATTCTAAGAGTCCAGTCCGTAGGATTCTCTTAGCTACTTATACTGCCATTAACGGGCTACAGAGGATGCGTTTAATATCAACGCATAGACATTTGTCTGTCTACATCTGGTGTTGCTTGCTAGTCTATCGTCTACATTCGTGGAGGACGTGACGCACTGTCTCGCGCCCACGGCCACACTAACATTCGTTTGTGTCAGCCTTGTTAATAGCGTGGAGGTAGGCATGCAGACTGATCTTGCCTGGGCGCATCTGTGTGATGACTGGGGTAGTCGCTCTGTGCATGCTGACATGGGTGGTAAATGTCACTTTTCCTGGCCCCACACTGAGTCTAAAAAGCTCTCGCCGTGTTTAGCCTTCTTCCAGGCCAGCTTCCATTCGTGTCTCATCCTCTGACGGATGACAGGTTTTGTGGTTGCTGTCAAGATTTGGAGCAACTCTCGGCGGGTTGCGGTTCTAGCATTGTTAGCGTTGTTCACAGATTAATGCTGTGACCAGCAGCTTCTTTGACTGCCTAATCAGCCGCTTTGTTGCCTGGCACTCCTATATACGCCAGGATGTACTGGAGCTAAACCTCCTACCCTTGGTCTTGGAGCTTGTCGAGTGCTCGTATAGCTTCAACTAAGATATATTGTCCCGAGGGGCTCTTGGGGTCTGCCATTGCTTGAATGACGGCTTGATTGTCTGCAAAGACGGCGCACTTGCTAGGGGTGTTTGTAGATGCATGTTTGTCGAGCGTGCGAACTTGGCGCGGAAGGTCGGGTTCGAGCGGATGTCTTTTGCAAGTGTGATGCTGAACTAGTGGAGCAGTTTTTGAAAGACGAAGGGTTGAGCCTGGAGAGAAGTGGCTTGCTGTGTGCGGAAGAGGGTCCCATGGGAGACATATTGCGGGTTGGAGATTTTAGAGGAGGTTAGGGAGTAGAGGCCGGGTGAGGTTGGTTGAGCGGAGATTGATTTCCTAGAGTTTAAGAAGTCGTAGCGGCAAGGTCAGGATTTGAAGTAGGGTGTTACTGTGGGAGTACGGTTGACGAGTGATTCTCGAGTTCCTCAGGAACGAATCGAACGATAACAGACGAGGCAACAATAGCAGTATTCTATCACGATAAATTAATATTAACGTACCTCACAGGTGTGCCAGCTACTCTGCTAAGACCTTACTAAAACTATTCTAACATTATAATACTTTAACAACAACACTAATTAGGACTTTTAAAAGAAGCTAGCGTACAGCTTACACTTTAGGCTATTAAATAAAATGTAATAACGTACTCTACAGGCAAGTTGCTTGCACACCTAAGTTGCTTACTTTTACTAAAACTTTACTAAACTACTCTTTCTACACTAATGCATTCTTAACAACACTACTTAGACATGCTAAAAAAATATTAAATATAGCTTATACTTTAGGCTTTTAAAAAAAATAAACACTTTTAAAGTATAGCTATGTATAAAGTTTTTTAAAAAATAATAAATAACTAATACACTAAATAACTCTTATAAGCTAATTTTATAGCTAACTTATAAAAGCTAAGTAATAATAAAAAGTAAGTAATTACTAAGTATATACTTAAGCTATATGTATAAGACTTTTCCTTTTATCTAGTAGCTATAGCTAATATAGCTAATTCTTTACACACTAAGTATAATCTAGGCTATATTAGCATAAACTAGCTTAGTATGTTTATAAAGTGTTATTTAAAGCTTAAAGTAAAGTTTAAAAATAATTATAACTATAAAAAAGCTTTTTATAAAAATTTTAAAGTAATTTAAAGCTAAGTATACTATTTAAAATACTAATATATATAACTTTAATAAAACAAGCTTTATAATAGGCTAAATATCTACTAACTATACTTATATTTAAAACTTTACTTTAAGCTTTAAATAACACTTTATAAATATACTAAACTAGTTTATACTAACATAGCCTAAATTATACTTAGTGTGTAAAATATTAGCTATATTAGCTATAGCTACTAGCTAAAAGGAAAAGTCTTATACATATAGCTTAAGTATATACTTATGTTAGATATGCGCACCTACTGTCAAGACAGGAGGAACGTTTGACGAAAGCTGCTACATAGTACGAGCAATAAGCTTGAACAGTATGTTGCAGCAAATTGCAGCATTTTGCAGCATGTTGCAAGCTGGTCGCGCATAGGGCTAGTGCGTAAGGGACTTAGATTAGCAGAATAAAAAGCTAAGCAACACAAGTAAAGCAGAAAAAAAGATTAATAAATTAACATAATTAATATAATTAATTAATTATTTTATATATTATATCTAAACCTATTATTTATCTTAGAAAGCCTAGAAACAGTGCTTTAATCTAATAATTAAAAGTCTTAGTGCCTCCATTAATACAAAATAGCCACCTAGCCTCCTTAAGACGCGACAGTTGTCCTTTAAGACCACACTGACTACAGAGCCTGGATGATGCAGCTGCAATTAAGATGTGTAGCGCACAGCATCTAGCTGCAAGTAGATCCTAAGTTAACTATCTAAATAATCTCTAAACTAAGAGCTTTAGAGATGCTACTAATAGCTAAGTTTTTACTAGCCTCTAATATTAAAACGCCTACGCACTTAAATAAGCTATTAATAAGTAGTGTTAAAGCTTTTAAAGAAGCTATTAAATACTATAAAATTAAAGCTAATAAGTATAAGAGTAATAAACATAATTATAAAAAAAAGTAATTAAGCTTTTAATAGATTATTATCTTTATCTAGTTAATAGTTAGCCTGCATCTACAGTGTACATGCTGTTCCCTAGATTAACTACTTAGATAGTAAATTACAAACCTTAAAGCTATAGTAGGCGTTAACAACTAATTTAAATAAGAATGTGTGTGTAACTAATATAATGCATTTCTAAAGCTGCTAAGAAACGCAAGCATATAGAACCTATAGCTAGCAGAGTATAACTACGCTGCTATAGAAGCAGAGACATAAAATGTTCTAAAAACAACGCAGTTTAATGCTGTAGTAAAGGACTTTTTAACTACTATAAATAAAGTTGCCTCTTATTAGTCTATAACTTTTTAAGAAAGTAAATAGTTTACACTAAACATAAATTAAAAAAAAATAATAAAGCGCTTTTAAAAATATATAATGTTAAATTATTTAATATATATAAAAAAGCATAAAGCT